GTTTTGAGAAGATAGAAAGTTTTTGTTTTAGTTACTTCCTGATTAGGAAATTTGGGATGGACGGGAAAGAGTTTTTTGATCAATCAAAAATTTAATTTTTAAGTTGCAATAATTATATTAATAAAATAATAAAATGATTTCATTTTCATATAATAACTTAATGATTTATATTTATGAAGTAATTTTCGAAAGGTGATGATGAAAAGTTTGCAGTCATAATATAATATAATTTCTTAAAATTTATATTATATAAAATATCTAAAGTTTTCACTTTTTCTTTAATGTCAAACAAAAAACAAGAAATGCATAAAATGTTTCAAAAACTTATTTTTGGTTCTATCAAAAAGAAAAAAGTTAAGAAAGTACTTTGAAGTTCTCTAAAAAGTCAAAGAGTACTCAAGGAACCCAAGAGCCAGCTACTGAATAAAGACCCTTAACTCCTATTAAAATGGAAATAGAAACATCTCAGAAGCGATTGAGATTCTCTGGATATTTTTTCAAATTTTCTTTTAACACACTAGTATGAAGAATATTCAAAGAAACTTCAGATATATTTAAAAATTTGTTATAATTTAAAAATAATACTAACTTATATATTTAATTCCTAATAAAGTCATTGAAAAAATCATGGAGTCCCACAAAGGCCTTTATAAAAAAATCAACCAATTGTTAGAACAGCAAAAAATTATAAAGGATAAGGTTACCCATCTAAAAAATGAAATTCATGCAAGTCAATATTTAATTATTGAATATGATTTTATTAAAATAAGATTTATTTTGAACTTTTTCAAAGATTTTTGAAAACTTATATTGTATTTAAATAGCATATGGTTAAGAGTATCATAAAACAAGTATTTTTTGAAAAAATATATCTAGATTATGAATATTTTTGCCAAATAATAAAAAAATTTTTTCAGCAAGAACATTTAGAGTTTTACAAAAGCCTTACAAAAAAATGCTAAAAAACATATTATAAAAAACATATTCATCAAGTGGTAATTCTTATAAATATTAATAATTTTAGTTCTTTAGTTATTAAATATCTTATTACTTTAAAAGTTCATAAAACAACATCGATCGCTTTGTGGAACTATGACTTGAAAAATTTATAATGCCATATTTTTGGTTTTTGGTGAAGAGTTTTTGGATACAATAAATATAAATACAATTGCCACTGACATTTTGGCCTGGAAACAATCTTGAAAGACTACCAAATGTTTTGAAAACCTTTACAAATGTCCAAGAGGAGAGACATAAAGCATGATGACCTGTATTCTCGAAAAAGTCTAACCAAAAGAAGACGCCTTCAAGAAACAAGTGACATTTGCCATTGCAGTATATCAGACAGTTCTTGATCTGAATAATAAAAGTATTTCAATAAATGAAATATTAATTAAAAGCCAAATAAAAAAAAATAAGATAAGTTTTAAAAATTTTTAAAGTATTATAAATTATTGCTAATAATATTTTTAGGAGAGAATTAAAAAAGAAGTTGAATTTAAAGAAGAAAATTCAAATAGCAAAGATGAAGAAATGACTGATCCATAAATTATTATTATAGAAAATAATCCAAAGGAATATGAAAATACTGAGAATAATCTGAAACAACTACTGAAAAATAGAAAATTAGAAAGAAGGACTTTGACAATAAACAAAGATTTAAACAAATAAATAAATATAAATATAAATTAAATAATAATAAAAATAATTTTATAAGTTAATAAATTTAAAATTGAATATTATTAAATTATAATATATAAATATAAATATAGTTTATTATTATTAAATTAAATCAAAGATCTTTAGAGTTTAATATATTAATTTTCGCTCCAGAGTTTTTTAACAATGACAAAAATTCTCTAAAGATCTATACTCGAAGATCTTTAAAAATCTTTGCCCAAAAATTTCCTGATAAAAAGTTTATTGCAATTATCTTTTTTTCAATTCTTTTGTATCTTTTCTTACCTTTATTCTATTATAAAAACCATATACAGTATATCATTATCATTATACTTGTTAAGTCAAATACTTTTCAAAATATATACTCAAACAAAGTTAATAAATCTATTGTTTGTTTTAAGTCAACTTTTATATACAATATTTTCATAATAATATTTGCAATGATACCTTCAATTTTCAAAAATTTTTTACCCAAAAAACCAAAATCATTTTATCCTTCAAATGATCAGCGCTCTTCAATCATCCAATCAAATTTCACTTAAAGATCAAAACAAAATCCAAACAAGCTCAAATCGGTTTTGTACCACAATAATAATCATAATAACAACAACTAACTTACTATCAATAACTATAACAACTAATAATATCATATGTACTCTATTATTTATAATATCCAGAGAATCAAAAAGATAGAACAATGAGCCTATCCAGAGGTTCTTCCATTACACATGTGGATTTTATAGTATATTTGATTTAGTTTTAATTATAATTACTTTTATTTTTCTTTTCAATTTTTTATATTTAAAAAATCAAAAGAATTCACAAAATTTCCTGAGATAGTAGACATAGCTGCTACTCAGTCTTATTTATTAATTTTGAATTTTTTTACAATATTAGTTAGATATTGATAAGTAGGCAAGCTAGCATTTAACTTTCTTGAAATAATGAAAAAAATGTTGTTTCTTTCATGATGTATACCTTGTTATATACAATATCAAATAAAGAAATAATATTTACCTACTGGAGAAACTCCTCTCAAAAAAGTTAATAATTGTTTTTTTTATTGTTAATAAAAATGATCATTTATTTTTAATAAGCTTCATGTTTTTAAAGTTAATTTTATTGATAATCTCATAATAAAATTTTTTAAATAATTATAATCTTTAAAATTATAAATAAGAAATGTACAAATATTGTTTTGTTTTATTAATTATTTACAAAAGATTTAGATCTATTTGATTTTATAACTTTATACATTGTGATTCAATTTTAGTGCAGATTGGATTTTCGAACCATCTCTTCAAGAGTATTTTATTAGTCATATTTCGTTGAGATATTTGTGGTGAGAATGAGAGAGGTATATATGTGTCTTTAGTCACTAGCACAACTATCAATTGTAATGGAATGTTTTGGTATAAATATCGTTTGTATTATTGTTCGTAATTTGAGGGATAAACTATGAATATCCTGAAAGCAGTCACTTCGTGGCTAAAATATTTCCACCGACAACGAACAAAGTACAATGAATTGGCAGGATATGTCACAATAAATACCAAAATTGAATTAACAATACTAACCTTAATAAAAACCCGCTGAGAAGTTTACGTTACTTGCCTTCTGCGACGCTAATAAATTCTATATGGAAGAATAACCATTAGTTTTGCAAGCTCAGAAGTTGGTTCATTGAAAAGTGTTGGCACAACCAAAATATTCGTACTTTAATATGGTTCTTTCACCAAAAGTATTGATTGCAGGATCTGATTGAACCTAGTATATGCATTATCTTAAGCGTTTGGACTTGCTTTACAGAAATCTTTGGTAGAATCACATCCAAAAAACATCAGAGGTGTATTATTCCGTAGCAATGCGCGTTTGTGAGCTTGAAAGGGGAAAATCTATTATAGTTTCTAACAAAATTAAGTGTTAATAATAAGCTAGTTAAGAATATGCCAGTTGAGAATATTCTTGATTTCTTCAACGACAAAAGCCTTGAACATCAGGTAAACGAGAAGCTCCCTATGATGCCCCAATGGGACCATTGCTGGGTCAGCAAGAAGCCTTGAACATCAGGCAAACGAGAAGCTCACCCATGCCCCAACACTGGTTT